ACTAAATTTTCAGTCACTAAAAGACATCTCCAAATCGACAAGGTTATCACCATAAGGACTAGGACTAGTGCCCTTCTTTTGCACAGGCTTCTCATTTCATTCTTCTAGAACTACGGCAACTATGATAAGAAGCAGGTGGACTCTCATTTGAGTAGACGTCGATTTTCGGATTTTTGGGCCGTTCTAAGGATGAGGTAGGGATCAAAAAGGTAGTAGTTAGTAGACTGCTAACTTTGATGAATAAGCTGGGTATGGGTCCATTCTCAGATCGAGATCCACGATCTTTTGGTGTGGCCTGATCTTAACATGCGGTCTTCGAATGCCGAGCGCTAGAGAAAAATTGAGTATTTTTGAAGAATTCAAAGCTTGACGTCATCCATGTTGTGAGGTCGGTAGAGAGACTGTAGTCCTTACCTGGTTATGCTAGTATCCAGAGATACGCTTTGAAGGTCCACCAAATAACTACTGAAATCTTTTCCATGCACATGTGCTTTAGCTGTGCAATCTACTTTCTGTTCGAGAGATCCTGCGAGAACATGTGCAGAGATGTACGCAAAGGACCCCACCACTCTCTACCAACCACAAGATCTCACAAAAGTGTCCTCCAGTGTGTACAAGGAAAAAAAAAACCCAGTCACGTCAACGGTATGACTTGTCAGAGGGGTTCAACTCATGGGCATCCTTCACAAAAATTTTTTCCAAAAACCGAGACTGCGGAAGCATGGCATGTGTCAGTTAGGTGGAGCCTAGAGAGGTTGCCTACTTACTGGTGGTTACGTTCGGCTGCGCCTCAGAACTTGAGTAAAGGCCGTCATTCTGTGGCTGGTGGCCGACCTATACATTGCCTACTTCCGGGTTGAATAAGTCCAGCCGGAAGCGCTGCTGCAAAAAGGAACTCTTGCTATGGCGAGCGATATCTTCCTCAAGACAACGTAAGTGTTAGCTTCCTCGACTATGGCGGAGTTTGCCCTACAGGAACTCATAATATGGGATAGGTCGAGAAGTACCTCAATCTCTTTTTAAGCTTTGAAAACTTCCACGGAGACCATGATATACCCATTTTCAGAAACCTCAGGAAGACAGTCTGCCACTAATCAGAGATAAAAACATTCGAAATGATTTTTGGTCTTTTTCTAGGAATAGTTCAAACAAAGTGTCGCAGGACTTTCCGACCAACATATAAACTGTACATCAGAGAAACTGGAAGACCATCAACAATTTCAACGAAACTTCAAGATGAGCATGCAAAATAAGTGTCTGTCCATAAAAAATAACGATTCCATTCGCGAGCTACTAGCAGAGAGATTTGCTAGTCGTAATTATATTATCTTTATAGGGACAGCACACCATGTCTCACATAGTGACTACGACTAACACAGAATGGGGTCGTTCCACTCATGCGGTTGTGGGCTGGTAAGTCCGTTTCTCCCATTCGGTTTTTTTGGTGTCGCCTATTATTATTCTTTATTCTTCAAAAACTCAGGCGAACAGGCGTTCAGTGGTATGGATAGAACAGCTTCCACGTCTCGAGCTATGTTTAAGCAGTTGAGAATGAAACTGGTCGAAACTTCGGGCCGCTTTCAAAGGAGGGTCCATCCATGAGCCTTGGCACGCTCATTGTAAACTTAACAACAGTGCCGAGGTCCTAGAAGAGGGGATTATACACTAGTAGACGGTCTCTTCTGCTTCAGCCGTCTGCTGTTCACAGTAAACTTCAACCACTGAAGTCGGCCCTAGGTACAGGTTGGAAAGTTCTGCAGTTTTTGAGTGTTTCACTTTAAACGATAACAACTTCCTTAACACTCATCGGATTTAATCCAAATAAGCACCATTCGAATCAGCACACTTTTGCCAATCTGAGCGCGGTCGAGAGAACCCATCAAAGAAAAAACTGGGTGGTCGAGAGTTCACGAAATCCACGAAGGCTTTTTTGCCTGGTCCTGATTGATGAAGTATTTTCCAACAAGGGAACTCTGAAAATGTTTGAAAAGGTGGTAGTCGGTTGATGAAAGGTCTGAAGAATATGGCGGTTGAGGTAGAATTTCAACCCCCAATTCGTTCAATTTATGGATAGTGATTTGTGAAACGTGTAGGCGGACGTTGTCATGCAAAAGAATCGGACCCTTTCTTTTGATAAGTATTGGCTGCAGCTGACAAAATTTTCGGTACATTTCGTCGATTCCTTCACAGTAGGGTTCTGCTGTGATGGTTTGGCCTGTTGATAAAAAGTTATAGTGGGTCACACCAGCCGATGACCACCAAACCGGCTTTGAAAATTACCTCGGTGGTTCGTCGAAATCCAACCACTGTCCGGAACGTCTCCTGTTATCATAAATGATCCATTTTTCATCAAAGGTGACAATTCGGTTCAAAAACGGGTCGTTTCTGTTGCGCAAAAGCAGTGAAGAGGAAACCGCGAGACATGCAATTTCTGCCGGTCACTCAAATTGTGGGGGCACCCACTTATCGAGTTTTTTTCCCTTCCCAATCGCGTTTCAAACAATCTGCAACAGTGGATTTGCCACGGCCTAGCTCTTCTGCTATCTCTCGAACTGTTTGGGATGAGTCAGCCTCCGAAATCCCCCTAAAATCCTCGTCAGATATTGCTTAAGGTCGACCGCTATGAGACTCACCTTCAAGGCTGAAATCTCCAGAAAGAAATTTGTTGAGCCATTGCCGCACAGTGCTTTCTCTAGCACTGCTGAGCTCCCACACCTGGTTAATTTATTGAGCTGTTTCGATTGCGGATTGCCCCAATTAGTCGAAGAAAAAAATCGTCCGAAGTGCTCTTTTCACATGCTTGAAAATCTTGAAAAAAAGTGGGTTTTTCAAGCAATGGTGAAACGGCAATTATTCCATCAGATAGCGCAAAGAATTCCCTTCAGGATGTACTACTGAGACGCAAGGGAGAGTGAGTTTTTAATCAGCAATGAATGTTCAAAAAAATAGTAACACAAAACCTGCAGAACTTCCCGGACAACCTAATACATTCTCCACCTTGTTGATGGCAGGATTGCACAATATCGCAGTTCGTCTTGCCTACAGTGGAGCTCTCCCCACCTTGGGAACTCTTCTCCATGAAATTCGGCAGCACGGGTTTTGGACAGAAAATTCGAATGCTATGGCATGATGTTAGAGAATGGACGTCTTGAAAACATCGTCGATGCATATCATGACCCAAAGTTGGGACCTAATATAACAGCTGCCTTCCGGCTGTAATAGCGGAGCCATGATCCTTCTCACGTTTCGCAGATGGTCCAAAAAAAGGCAAGCAGCGTCATTCGAAGTTCACAGAAGCAAAGAAGTGATGTGGTCAAAACGAGAAGGAAGTCTGCACTAGTCGCGCAGTCCGCAAAGCCCATCAGTATATGTTGAGACGTCAGTTTGTACTCCTCACATACCATAAGCCATTTGGAGGGCAGTTTCAGAGTGTTGCAGGACGTTTGCTTAACCTAATTACGGCTGCATTGCGAGAGACCGTACACTGAGAACTTCATATTTCATTAGACTTTTGATACAACGGAGGTGTTCAAGGCGCGAGCGCTCTCGTCACACCCTTGCCACTGAGCTTTCCTTGATGTTGACTTGATGACAAACTGTACCCTCACCACCAACGGAGGAGGGCGAGGCCTGCGCCCCGCCCTGCCGCCACGCCGCCACTGTGCTCAGATCAGTAGCCGCTTTTATGTGGAAAGAAAAAGAGAGAAATAGGATTGAACAAACCGTGGATGCGTATAGGTGAGTTAGTGGTATTGGTGAGAGAATACAGAAAAGTCGACTATCAGGGCTAATTACTTCAGTAAATGGCGAAACTGGGGAAATGGTTCTCTTCGATTTTGAAAGCGACGCAAACAGCTCCGAGGCAAATGTTATTTATATCGTTATAAGGCCACATCCAATAGTCGGAGATTTGCCAAAGAACGTTTGTGCCAGGGTATTAGCATCATTTTCACTATCGAAGGGAACTATTTCGCCAGTTTTGCCATTGTTCATTGAAGTGATTCGCCCTGATCGTCGACTTTCCTGTATTCTCTCACCACAGCCGCTAACTCACCTGTAACCATCCACTATCTGTTCACTCATCTTTCTCTCTCTTTTCTTCTCTCTTTTCCTTCCACATAAAATGGCTGCTGATTAGCGCAGTGACTGACGCGCAGGTCATCGCCTTTCGTTTCCCCCTCTTGTCGCGTGACCTCAAAAATCAAGCCGCAACCGCATCGCTGAGTTTTTCAATGGAGCCCACCATCAAAGACGGTCTTTTTCATGGGCATGGGTCTGTAGCTGCAGTTTCGTGCCATTTTCCTCGCTTTAAAGTGCACCAGAATGGTGCTGGTAGTGATACCCTGGTGCCATCTCCATTTCCAACCCACGTTATCCTCAGTGTGCACCACTTGCATCGGGGTCGCAGCGAAAGTTCAGAAGCGGGGCAGTGAGAGGGTGTAGACAAGTCGCGCGTTTGGTCTAGACTAGGTGTGCGGCTAGACGCGCGGCAGCGCGGGCGGAGTATAAAGCCGGCATCTGAGTGTCACTACCTTCCAGCCCCGTTGTGGTGCACTTTGAAGCAAAGAAAATAGCAAGTTCACGGCGGCAGTATCCATTCACTCACACATGGCAAGGACCACGACACGCGAAGGTGGGTGTTCCAACCTGCGCTTACAAATCCCTCTCCTCACACCCAGCGCTGAATGTGAACTCCTTGGTGCCTGCGCCGTAACATCGTTCACTAAGGAATGTCTGAATTGTGGTAGCGGACTTTTCCTGCGTTAAAACGAAAGAGCATCCAGTATGTAAGTAATTTGCAGAAATGCTATCCATATTCCATCAACTTCCAGCGAAATGTTGTGAGGCATGACAAGACGAGGACCTACAAATAAGATGTCGCGTTTTGAAGCAAAAGAGAGCCGAAGACTTTCTCAGGCTCTTTTCCTTTTTCATTTACAAGAGAACAGAAGCAGTCTCTTTCGTTTTTGATAATATTTACTGGACGGCTCTCGGAAGAGTTACTGGACTTGCCACTTACTCATTATAGCATGGTGAATTTTCTTCCGTGCTCCAATTGTAGACACTCCGATATCTTTGAGGTTTTGCTCATCCAGGAGAAGAAACGCGTGCATGTCGATCTAAATCAGATACTTGTTAGTTGCAATCCCCTGAAAATGATTTTGTAGGTTGCTGAATTACAAGCTTGCACACCTGGTTGCTCACGTCTGTATGTCAGAGCTGTCAAGACTTCAGCTAGAACATAAATAAGGACAGAAAGAATAGATATTGAATAGATAGGTCATATGTGAATCGGGGCACATCATTGTTCGGAGTTCCCCAAAAGGGGGTCGCTTTTGGACGCTGGGGAGGAGGTTGTATGTGAGCAGGGAAGAATTCCTTTCATAGTTAGTTTTTCTTGCTTCAGGGATCTTGTGAAGCTTGGGGATCCTATGTTCGCTGTTGGGAGGGGTGCCGCTCGACAGCTCGATCTATGAGGATAGCACTGGGGTGGGGGAAGGAGGTCGTATCAAGCCGCGTGTAGAAGGGTCGCACGGACTCGACCAAAATCCTCAATTAATGACTTGCTCTGATGGCACGTGAGAAAACTGCCACTTTGTTTCGAACTTGATCACTGTCATTCACCATGATAAGGGCCGTTCAATGTCGCAGTTTGCACCTCAGGTACTATCAAAAGAAGGCGAAGTTGTGTGTCAACACGGGCGGAACTCAGACCCGCACCTCACGCATATAGGTATGGTATCGTTGGGAGGAATCCAATCAGTGGGTTCTCAAGCCAAATGCACGACTTTTCGAACGAAATTCACGACTTTCCAAGATCCGAGACTTAGTTACCTACGCCTTATTATTGTTGTTTTTACTGTTGCATTAGGCCACGCCCGCTGTGAGTGGCTCTGCTCACCTAGAAGGGGCCACATCCGATTTTCGGAAGTGATGCAGGTCGGCAGTATAGAGTCTCAGCTTGCATGCTAGGATGTTACTTGTCACTCAAGACAAGCTTTGCGTGACTCATTTGTTCCAAGCGACGAACAGACCTCATCATGCAATCTGGAACTCTATACTGCCATGCATTGATTTCCAGAAGTGAACGTGGCTTCTTCGAAGTAGCCGGAGCATGTCATAGTGGGCTGAGCTTTGCGTAACAGCCCAATAATGTAAAAATTCTGAAAAAAACATAGTTTTGTAAAAAACCTAACTATCTCCTATCACCTATCCCCATTCAAAGTTGAATGGTAAGTAGGCGGACTCGCCTGGTTAGTAACGAAGCTCTTTTCCTTACTGGTTAACGACGGTCGAGAGCGCCATCGGGCCGGAGCATGTCATAGTACAAAAGCTGTTTACAAGTTCAAAACGTCATTGTATTCACTTATACCCTTCGCGGTTTTAGCTACTGTGTTTCGCTTATGGAGAGTCATGTACCATTCATCTGATCGCTATTGCTTCACTATGTAGTTTTTCTCCCGCGCTGAAAGTTGTGAGGAGTTACTACAACCTGTCAAGCGAAATTCTTTGCAATTGCTATCGTTTCGGACAGGTCCAGCTGTTCAGCGATTTCAGTGTGAGCATTATAAAATGAATAAGAGACCTCCTGCTCTCTCAATTGCGTCATATATTCACTGCATCCCAGCTGCGCCAGCACCATCATTGGATCAACAAACAAACGAATGTCCCAGGAAAATTCCGATACAACTGGTGACGTGTCGAAAATCGAAGTGGAGGCGGAAAACGCTGTAACACATGGAATCGCGATTTTCAAATGATGGAAAACACATACTAAACAATTTCGCTTGCTGGAAAGGAAAAAATATAAGTATGATATGGAAAAGTTTTGAAAGTTTATTGCAAAATCATTAGAGGTATACCATGTTTTTTTTCGCACTCTTCTGAGAAGCCTATGAACGACATTCTGTGGTCCGCTGCTTCTGAGTACTGCGACAAAACCTTTCCACAACCTAATTGAGAATAGGTCATGCTGTGGCGCTGAGGAGGACTTACTACATACGACCCCCGTCCATTACCGACCAATCATCTTGACAAACTTTCTCAGAAATTTGTCGTTAGGAGGTGGATGGAAAGCACATCAGACAGAGTATCAGAAACATTCAAAGTTCCTGTAGATGAGGCCAACTAGAAGGTGCAAAAATCTATTTTTCTCCGCACGCGAAACTTAGAAAAACGCCTCCTATTTCTAGACATTTACTGACCTGCACCATTCCTTTTTGCGTAGACGCGGTTGGTCGAGTTCATAGAATTGCTGCTAATTGATCCAGAAAACTCCGATAGCTCATCTTCTTCACGAACTGCGCATAAACCACGCGAAGGCTGAACACGAACAGTGAGCTCTTCATTTTTCAAGGTAAGCTGGTTCTGCGACATTGCACCAGCTATGCGCTTGTATCTAGCTCATAAGAGTGAAGGCTCTCGATGTTATGTTGTTGATCTCTAAGGAGAGAAACTAAAATCAGTTCCCAACCCTACTAATTCCTAGCCAAGCATAAAGTGCAAATAGCATTGACAGAGAAGTAGAGATTTCCAGTGAGTAGATTAAAAAATATTCGTATCACTGTGGATACGAAAAGGTGTGGAAACTGCTTGGTTCAAAAAGAAGTGTAGACAATTGCAATGTGGGAAAAATCACCGTTTTTGCATCCTTTCCTAAAATGGGCCTTCCGTCAGGCACTGCGTCTTCTTGAGATATATCCATAATTCCTTTGAGTAGCTCGGCTGGCAAGGAATAACTGAAGCCGTATCCTGCCCACAGATCTGTTGGATAACGCGGAGCTTTCGAAAGTGCACTGTCGTCAAATATAGCTGAAGTGATGCATAGTTCAAGAGTAGTGAAAGCGATGTTCATAAGAACTTACGCTCTAGGAACGCCAAATTGTTCACCGATTACATACAAAAGTCCTGACTATTTCTACGAAATTCTTGACTGCTCCGCGGTGACATAAACATGAGACTCTTCTAACAAACTCTCCGAAATAAAATGCGAAGAGAAACATGAACGTGGGGTACATCATCATGCCCGAATATGAGGGCGAAATCAAGGCAAGCATACTAAGGAAGTATACCAAGAGACGATTACTCGAGTTCGACGTTGTTTCATGGCATTAGAAAGGATCGTCAGGTAAAAAAGATTAGAAATATGGAAAGAACGGCGGAAAATGCCCCTCAAACCCGCGAGGATGCGGCCACACGTCGCCAAAATGGCGATTTCCCGAGTTTTGGTCTGATAGTTGTCTAGTTTTTTGTCGCTCTTCTCCAATTCTTTCCATTCTTCATTTTTGCAAGGTGTGAACGTGGCCTCAGAAAAATATGGTGAAACCGTAGAAGCGCAATACTGTAGGCTCATGGTGGTACAGATACGGCAAATATTAGGTTGACCGAAAAGGAGAAAATGTCACACTTTTAGTTCAAAAAGTGTAGCAAGCGAATGCCCCAACACAAAGTCAGATATCGAGGGTTCTGAGAAAGAGAAATGTTCGAAGATCAATCTTAATGCTGGTTGGTGTTATTCTCCATTGTTGGTGCACGGTCCGCGATCAAGTATCGAAGTTGAAAGTATGGCGTCAGAAGGTTAGAAAGGTCCGCGGCGAACAACCTTGTACCGGTTTCGCGGCAAAAAATTCCAAGGGAAGGCTATAGCGCAATATAGGTTCAGTGGTTCCTCCTTATTGTGATTCCGCCTCCACACTCCGCCTCCAATGCCCGGCTTTCAGTGAAAAACGAGATTGCAGGACGAAAAAGCATGAAAATCGTCACTTGTACGATTGTAGGGTTCTCGTAAAATAAATTTATCTTGATTCATCATCGGTGAATCAGCTGTGCGTATGAGGGCGTAGTGTGGAGGCGATAGAGTGGTAGCTGATAATCGTTTCTCGTGGGCGAACCAAGCGGACTCGATCCTAGTGTTGTTTTGTTTTGGAGGACCAGTTAGGAAGATCGTTGTCGGCTGCGAAGCAACGTCTCACAATTCTGCCTGCGTATGCAGACGCAAACTGGATGGCCCCGAGCAATCCAAGGACGACCTCTACGTTTTGTCTGAATGAGAAGACGGCTGAAGTACCGCCACGAGAGCGTCAGCGAAAAACGGTATCAATATGTTGCTGGCGACCTAAATGGACGCGCTGCTAAAGATGTGCTTGGTAAAGGCGGATTCGGCTACGGATCCAATGGTGAGGAGTCTGCGAATATGCAGGGCCATGCAAATCTTGTCATTCTGAATACACAGTTTCGTGACACGCGACTCATATCTCATCACGCTCTACAGCGCGAGGTTCAAAACACCAAATAGACTCTGTCGTTATCAGGCATGGCGATCACAGGACTCGTCACAGACGCTTAAGGTCGTGTCGTAATGAGACAGTTTCCCCAACACGCTCGAGGTGATTATAGTGGTGGTGCCTGAATAAAGCGAGAAGGCAGCGCGATAATTCGATCCTGTTTACGCGGCGGAAACAACTGTGGAAAGAAACCTGGAGCGAAGCCGTTAAGATCGAAAATCCGGCAGCGATGACGCGAAGTGCTGGGCGGCGTCCAAATTGACAGCAGCCCTGGCTGTAAGACGGACAACGCTCCTGGGCAAAGGTTGAGCTGAGGAATATATCACGTGTTTTTTTGGGGAAAGAAGACGGCTTACCACTTGCGAAGGTACATGGAAGGCGGAGGCAGTGCGGCAGAAGAAGGCGGTTCCGCCGTAGTGAATGCCGCCTCATGTTCGAACGATGTCAGGCAAGAAACCCGCAAGTAAGCGGCCGTGGCCTTGTGGCCGACTTGGCCAATCTCGCCCACGCCAAACAAGATAGTAGAAATGTTTTTTTGGCATCAGTGACGAAAATGGCCATCTTGCGATGAACGGCGAAAGAGGGTGTTGCAGCGATGGCCGATATTTCGAGAGATTTCGACGAGACGAATTTACCTATCCGGTTACCCCCTGCGGCACCAATATCGGGCCCCTTGGGAAGATATTCGTTTTGAGGAACTGAAGAAGCGGCCTCAGACGAAGATGAAGACTGGTAAAGCTACAGGTCCCGACGACCTAGCAGCACGACCTGTGGAAGTGCTAGACTGGTACTGGCCGCAGAATGGTTGACGAAGCCTTTTAACCCCATCACTGCAGAGAAGAAGGTGCCCAAGGACTGGTTGCAAAGCACGACGATTTCAATATTGAAGGAGCAAGGGCAGTCCGGGCAGATTGCTCTAAACTACCGTCCGATTCGCTTTCCTCTGCGGCAGTTATTGAAATATTCGTGATTGCGTTGACATCGTGCCAGCTCGTCTGCCAGTCAGTGTGGCTTTCGTAACTGCTGTGGCACATGCGCGCAGCAATTTCATAGTGCCCCCTTTTCTTTGAGAAACATCGTGAGAAGCCCAAAGGCCTGTGCAGCGTAGCCTTCGCTAATCTGGAAAAGGCATTTGGATGCGTGCCGCTTGAGTTATGTGGTACTCTATGCGACAATACGCTGTCCCAGAAGAGCTCATCGAGTGGGTTGCGGCATCCTTGCATTCAAGAACCGAAGAGCCAGGTGCGGACTCTTGGCAAAGCACCTCGATGAAGTTTCCCGATCACGTCGGGAACACCTTGGACCTCCTTTACGGCTGAGGATGTGATGCTTGCATGCGAAGATAAGAGCACCGCTAGAAAAGGCTTAGGACTGTCGCGTGCCAAAGTTTGGGGCTAGGTTAACAACTGTGAGTAAGCGCCGAGTACCTGGCAAACCGACCAGGCCGAGACGGGCTCATCAAAATGATGCAACCGAGTCATGCGTACGAAAACCTTTCAGTACTCGGATCAGCAATTACGTCCAATGGAGATCATCAAAGGCGGGGCGAGTGCAGAGTGGCGAAATGGGATGCACAGTCTAATCGCTCCGAGATAGGAAGATGCCAGAGCGCCTGAAGTCGAAAGATCTGCAAAGTGTCGTTCACGCCATGTCGCCCATATTGGTGCCTAGTGCTGGCCCGCTTCCAAAGAATCGAAGCGCGACCAACATTACAGTTTGATACAGCGCTTTTGGATGACACGGCATGTACTTCGCGCTATACAATGAAGAAGCGAAGGCAGGACCCATTGTAGATGGCTTCACTTGAAGTGCCCGAAAAGCGACCTAGGGAATCGTACAGGCAGCGGCTGGCTCGATGCGTTGCATATCAGACGGCTGAAGCTAGTTGGAAATTCACACGATCATCGGGCATTTATCGGAATAGTGGCGTTATACATTAGAAGAGCGGGACCCCGCGCTAAATGGGAGCAATCGCTCAAGGAAGAAGAACATCGTAGTATAATATCCGCCCTCGAACAATAAAATGTTTTTGAGAAAAGTAGGGAAGTTTTCGGAAATTTGGAAAAGTGGCAGGAAGTTGGGGTAAAATCTGAGAATCTGGTAGAAGGGGGGGGGGGTGAAGGGGGCTCGCCGTATTGTCTCGCGGATTTTTCTGTTTCACATGTGCTATACTACCCGCCTCCCTCCTCGAGCGCTGATCCGAAAATAAGGGGGAGAGAGGGCCGGACGGGGGTGGGGGTCGTAGCCAACCCGAGAAAAAGGGGGGGGGAATGTCGTAAGGACTCGACTAAAATACACAGCAATGATGTGCTAGCGCTGATTGCGACCCGACGGGTCGCAGTTATAATTAGGTTGCGTACGAAAAGTCCTGGCGAGCCTCTGAACGCAATTTTTCGGACTAAATTTTCAGTCACTAAAAGACATCTCAAATCGACAAGGTTATACCATAAGGACTAAGGACTAGTTGGCCCTTCTTTTGGCACAGCCTTCTCATTTCCATTCTTCTAGAACTACGGCAACTAATGATATAGAAGCAGGTGGACCTCATTTTTGAGTAGACGTCGATTTTCGGACTTTTTTGGCATTCTAGGATGAGGTAGGGATCAAAAATGGTAGTAGTTAGAGACTGCTTAACTTTGATGAATAAGCTGCGGTATGGTCCATTTGCAGATGCGAGATCCACGATCTTTTGGTGTGGCATGAATCTTAAGCATGCGGTCTTTCGCAATGCCGAGCGGTAAGAGAAAATGAGTATTTTTGAAGAATTCAAAGCTTGACGTCATCCATGTTGTGAGGTCGAGAGGACTGTAGTCCTTACGCGGGTTATGCTAGTATCGCAGAGATAACCGCTTTGAAGTGCCACCATAATACTGAAATCTTTTCCATGCACATCGTGCTTTTAGCTGTGCAATCTACTTTTTTGTTTCGAGAGTTTCCTGCGAGGAAATGTGCAAGGATGTAGGCAACCGACCCCACCAGCTCTCTACCAAACCACAGATGCTCAGCAAAAGTTCGCTCCAGTGTGTACTAAGGAAAAAAAAACCAGTCACGTCTACGGTATGACTTGTCAGAGGGTTGCAACTCATTGGGCATGCTTCAAAAAAATTTTTTCGCAAAAAAACGCAGGAGACTGCGGAGAGCATGCAGTGTGTCAGTTAGGTGGAGCCTAAGAGAGCTTGCCTACTTACTGGTGGTTACGTTCGGCTGCGCCTCAGATTGAGAGTAAAGGGCCGTCATTCGCTGTGCTGGTGGTCCCGACCTATACACATGCCTTTCGGGTTGAATAAGTCGCAGCGCGAAGGCGGCTGCTGGCAGAAAAGGAACTCTGCTATGGCGAGCGATATCTTCCTCAAGACAACGTAAGTGTTAGCTTCCTCGACTATGGCGGAGTTTGCGATAACAGGAACTCAATAATATGGGATAGGTCGAGAAGTAACCTCAATCTCTGTTTAAGCTTTGAAAACTTCCACGGAGCCATGATATGAGCCATTTGTTCAGAAAACCTCAGGAAGACAGTCTCCCACTAGATCAGAGATAAAAACATTCGAAATGATTTTTTTGGTCTTTTTCT